CAATAGTATTCAAAACAGCATAGTACAGGCATAAAAACAGACATATAATCAATGGAACAGAATAGAGATTCCAGAAATAAATCCATGCCTATATGGTCAGCTAATATTTGACAAAAGGAGAGAGAACATACAACAGGGTAAAGACAGTCTATTCAATAAATGGTGTTGGGAAAATTAAACAGATGTAAAAAATGAAATTAGAACACCGTATACAAGAATAAACTCAGAATGAATTAAAGACTAAAATATAAGACTCAATATAAAAATCCTAGAAGAAAACATAGGCAGTAAAATCTAGAACATTTATCTTAGTAATATTTTTACTGATATATCTTCTCCAGCAAAGGAAACAAAAGAAAAAATAAACAAATGGGACTACATCAAACCAGTAAATTTTTGCACAGCAAAGAAAACCATCAACAAAATAAAAAGACAGCCCACTAAATGGAAGAAGCTATTTACCAATGATATATTTGGTAAGGGGTTAATATCCAAAATTTATAAAGAACTTCAACAACTGAATACCAAAAAAACAAAACAAAAAAACAACAAACAATCCAATTAAAAAATGGGCAAAGGACCTGAATAGACACTTCTCAAGGAGTACAGATGGCCAAGAGACATATGAGAAGATGCTCAATGTCACTAATCATCAGAAAAATACACATTAAAACGAAAATAAGATATCACCTCACACCTCTCAGATTCGCTATCATCAATAAATCAACATACAAGTGCTGGTGAGGATGTGGGGAAAAGGTAACCCTCATGGACTGTTGGTGGGATTGCAGATTGATGCAGCCACTGTGGAAAACATCGTGAAGTTTCCTCAAAAAGTAAAAACAGAACTTTTTACTCAGTGATTCCACTTCTAGGAACATATCCAAAGAATCACAAAACACTAATTTGAAAGAATATATGCACCCCTTTGATCACTGCAACGTTATTTACAAGAGCCAAGCTATGGAAGCAACCCAAGTGCCCATCAGTAGACGAGTGGATAAAAAAGTAGTGGGACATTCACACAATGGAATATTACTCAACCAAAATAATGAATGAAATTTTACCATTTGAGGCAACAGGAATGGACCTAGAGGTATTATGCTAAGTGAAAGAAGTCAGAGAAAGACAACTACCATATGACCTCACTTATATGTGGAATCTAAAGAACAATATAAATGAACAAACAAAAAAGAAACGGACTCACAGATAGAGAACAGACTGATGGTTGCCAGAGAGGAGGGGGTTTAGGGAACTGGCTGAAAAAGGTGAGGGGATGGAGAAGTACAGATTGGTAGTTACAAATTAGTCAAGGGGATTTAAAGTACACCATAGGAAATACAGTCAAAAGTACTGTAATAACTATGTATGGTGCCAGTTGGATACTGGAAATATTTTGTAAAGTATGATTGTTAACCAATACACTGTTTACCTGAAATTAATACAAAATAATATTGACTGTAAACCATAATTTTTGAAAACTTTAAATATAAAAGAATAACATTAAAATGGAAAAAAGACTACATAATAACTGAGAATGAAGTTTAGAAGCCAATAATAAATAAAAAAGAAAAAGAAAAAAAATGTGAGCCCTGGCCAGTGTGGCTCCTTGGTTAGAGGTCTGGCCGGCACCCCGAAGGGTCTCGGGTTTGATTCCTCGTCAAAGGCACACACTGGGTTGCAGGCTTGATCCCCGCCCCCGGGCAGGGAGCATGCGGGAAGCAGCCAATCGCTCTCTTTCACAACGATGTTTCTGTCTGTCTGTGTCTCTCTCTCTCTCTCTCTCCCTCTCTTCCACTCTCTCTGAAAAGCAATGGAAAGAAATATCCTCAGGTGGGGATTAAAAAGCACACACAAACAAGCAAAAAAGAACTATGAGAAATTACACTTCAACACTAGAATGGAATAATACAAATTAACAACCATAACAGGCAAATTCTTTTCCTAAAGAAATTTTAAAATACTGTTTCACTTTTGATTTTACAATAAACAAAATTGGAAGAAAGTAATACCAGAACACCTCTTCTCTGAGGCCAAGTAAAAGCCTGAAAGATTATATTTCCCTATTCCTATGTAGAAAATTAAATTATTTTCAGAACCAGCAGGACCACAACATCTAAGAAGGAAGGTGAAAATAATACAGTTCCAACATCTGAAACTTGTTTTGGACAGATGTACAATCATGCCCAGTGGGTTTAGGGGGATATAATAACCACAGGAAAAAGAAATGGTGCCCAGCCGGGCGTGGCTCAGCGGTTGACCGTCGACCTAGGAGCCAGGCGATCAGGGTTCGAGTCTCCGTCAGGGCACATGCCCGCGTTGCGGGCTCGATCAATGACTCTCATCATTGATGTTTCTATCTCTCTCTCCCTCTCCTTTCCTCTCTCTGAAATCAATAAAGATATATTTAAAAAAAGAAAAAGAAATGGTAAAGGAGTTATTTCATTACGAACCACTATTCTAGAACCGAGATAATGTAAGCTGTACTGGATTAGAAGTTCAAATATCAGAAGTCATAAATGCAAGAAGTGTCAGGAAAAAAACCTACCTTGATCCAGAAGTGTTCTTTTAGCCCCAAGAGTTAATTTTTTTCCAATCTTTTAGTGAAGAGGAATGGTGTGTTAATGTCAGAACCCACCAACTTTTCAGAGGAGAAAACTCAGGTGCCACCCCTTTTTGGAACCACCAAGGTACTCGTATCGGAAGCCATAAAATATGTAGCATCCTTGGTACAGAAATTATGGTCTCTTTACACTAATCCTTCCTCAGAAGACTCCATCCTTGTCTTTAAAAAACTTTATGATTAAACTATGAAAAATTTTGTTGAGCCCGGCCGGGCGTGGCTCAGTGGTTAAAGCATCGACCTAGGATCCAGGCGATCAGGGTTCGATTCCTGGTCGGGGCACATGCCCGGGTTACAGGCTGCAGCCGATCAATGACTCTCTCATCATTGATGTTTCTCTCTCTCTCCCTCTCCTTTCCTCTCTCTGAAATCAATAAAGATACATTTTTTTTAAAAAAAAGGAAAAATTTTGTTGAAAAATCAAAAAAAAGAGAAGAAAAAAAAAGAAATCCAATGCAATGTTCCAAAGTGAAATTGTACATATCCTAGGTCTGATCCACTTTCTTCATTTTATAATTAACTGCCTAAATGGCTTAAGAAGCTTCTGGCTTCATTAAATAATCTGGAAACAGTAAGAACTTTTCCCCAAAGCACGAGCTGTCAAATTATTCCTCTAATAATGTATTGTTTCCTGATGCTAGTGTTGAAATGCCAAAGCACTCTGACAGATAACTGTTTGAAAATTTATGCTCAAGACTTTTAAATAGCATGAGATATTGGTTTTAGAACCAGCTCTTAAGTGGAAGGACAGGGCCAGTGGGAAAAGGGGGAGATAGTAATGGAGGTGCCAGTAACAATTCTGGACCTCCTTTCTGATATTGGCATATTAATGTTGATGAAAGGGTTCCCAACATTTGCCCAATAATAATTATGCTGGATTTTTTCCAAAAGAAAATAACCTCCATTTCTGCGTAAATTAAGAATTCCAGCCTGGCCCGGAGTGGCTCAGTGGTTGAGCATCCACCTAGGATCCTGGTGATCGGGGTTCGATTCCTGGTCAGGGCACATGCCCGGGTTGCAGGCTTGATCAATGACTCTCTCATCACTGATGTTTCTATCTCCCTCTCTCCCTCTCCTTTCCTCTCTCTGAAATCAATAAAGATATATTAAAAAAAAGAAAAAAAAGAATTCCACATGTTGCAATAAGAAAAATATAAATCAGAAAAAAATAGAGAAGATAATCTATAGGTGTGTTACCAAACATTATATTTTCTAACTGTGGAAAAGACTTTCTAAATTTTACTTCAAAGGCAAAAAAAAAAGTTTTTCTTTAAGTTGTTTGTTTACTGGGTGTTAATATCTTAGTCTAAAACTGCACTGTCCAATAGGGCAACCACTGGCCATACGTGCCTATTGGGCACTATTTCAAGTTGATATGTGCTATATGTTTAAAATACACTCTGGATTTCAAAAATTTAATATTAAAAAGAGTCTGTAAAATATCCCTTAGTATTTTTACATCGAAATTGAAATTATAACATTTCATATATACCAGATTAAATTAAAACATTAAAATTAATCTTACCCGTTTCTTTCTACATTTCTTAATGTGGCTACTAGAAAACATAGGAGTAAATATGTAGTTCATATTTGTAGCTTGCACTGTATTTCTACTGGACAACACTAGTATATATAATGACTCCAACTGGACTAAATTCCTTTAAATTCCCTCTAGCTCTAAAGTTCTAACACTAAAAAGCTGCACACTCAAGCTAGTAAATTTTAAATACAAAGTTATTTTAGAGAAACCTGGGTTTAGTCACCATTTCATTATCTCTCCACACCCCCTACCGCTTTCTCATTGTTTCTATGGATTCCTAATAGCCAAGAAAAACAAATCTGTCGATTTATTTATTTATAAAATGCAAGCACGCAGTTCATGGCCATTCTCAATTGACATTTGGTCCTGTTCCTTTTTACTACACACCATGCTGATGCCTATTTAATGCTCTGCATGAATAATGAACTTTGTATGGGCTTTTTTTTTTTCTCCCCAGTTTTAATATTCATCAAACAGGACGTCTGGAATTAGAGATTATTAGAAATCTTATATTCCAGTGGTCCCCAAACATGCTGGCACGTCTGGGGAACATAGAGAAAATATTCATTTCTAGGCTTTATGTCTGGAGATTCTGACCCACTAGGTCTGGGATGACACAGATCCTACACTTCGTAAGAAGCTGCCCAGGTCACTCAGAAGCTCAGTGAGGTTAGGGAACTAGCAGTCTAGCCTAACTTTCTTCATCTGCAACAAAGGTAAAATGAATTGTCTTAGCGCTAAGGCCCAATAGCCTGAGACCTGGCACCAGGACAGAGGGCTCCTCACTACAGCTCTGTGCCATTCTGAGACCCTCTGTCCCACACACACATTACTTACTCCTCAAGAGCTCCGGCTATCAGTATATCTTCCTTGTCAGTTTTAACATCCAACTCTGGTTCTCCATTAAGCAGAAGCTTCAAGTTATAAATAACCAGCAAAGTACCTAGTGGAAAACAGATGTTTGACTTGTCAATATTTTAACTACGCAAAATATTAGTCATGGTGATATTATCACATCTATTAATTTAAGCCTCCTCTAGGCCAAATTTCCCTTTGTACTTCGGTAACTATGCTTGGGTAAGTTCCAAGATATATGTTTTATAGCAAATTCCACTCTCTGCCAGAGAATGTTGAGCTTCTACAGTACAGTGTTTCTTATTATTACTCAATTTATTATAACTCTTTCAATGTGGATTCTAAAACTTGGGCACTTTTCATAATTTGCATTATAAATATTGTTAGGAGCCTTAGCCAAATTTGTATTACAGGTAAAGCTCTCATTGGTGTAACTACAATCAAGGCACATAAGAACAAATATGAGTTTTAAATTTTTGTACAAATATGAAGTATACTGCTTTTAGACCCTATCAGGGGTGTTGGCAAATTTTTTTGGTAAAGAGCCAAGTAATAAATATTCCAGGCTTCACACACCATATGGTCTCTGTTACAACTACTCACAACTCAGCTTTACCATTGTAGCATAAAACCTGCCACTAAGAATATATAAATGTGTAAGTGTGGCCATATCTCAATAAAACTTTATTTACAAGAATAGATATGAAGATGAATTTGGACTACGGGTATGGGCCATAGTTTGCTGACCCTGCTCTAAAGCATACTTAACAAAAAAGCCCAAAGTTGTTTATAATATGAAGACAAGCAGGACTATCAGAGAAATTAAAAGAACAACCAATTACACTTTGTTGGTAGTACTTAAATGCAAGGGAGAACAGCACAGTGGTTAAGAATTGGTCTTGGGAACCAAAATGCCTGTGTGTAAATCCTGGATCAACCATTTACCGGTACAATGACCCCAGGTAAGTTTCCTAACCTCGCTGAACCTAATTTTTCTCATCTATACAGTGGAGCTGATCAAGTATCTAAAACACACTTGTTTTGAGGATTCAATGAGTTAATTTTTATAAACCATTTAGAAAAGTATTCAGGAAACAGTACACTCTTCATAGGTAATTTTAAGAGTACATCACAATTAGAAGTCAAGAGAGTACATCAACTGTCCTCAAAGTATATCGTGTATGTGTTAATAAAATGAATACTATAATTGCCAATGTTTTTCTCTATGAGAAAGAGAAAATGATGACACAAAACATCACTATTAAACAAGATGCCACAGATGAGAGAAGAAATTTCAAGAGTAAGGTAGGCTGCCCGGCCAGGCGTGGCTCAGCGGTTGAGCGTTGACCTAGGATCCAGGAGATCAGGGTTCGATTCCCAGTCAGGGCACATGCCCGGGTTGCGGGCTGCAGCCTATCAATGAATCTCTCATCACTGATGTTTCTATCTCTCTCTCTCCCTCTCCTTTCCTCTCTCTGAAATCAATAAAGATATATTTAAAAAACAAAAAACAAGAGTAACGTAGGCTAAGTCAGAAACAGATTTCTCAGAATTTTTCTATGAACAATACATAAATCAAGGAGTGGTAAAAAGCAGAGCACACATAACTTTCTCTAGGGGAGGCTTCTTTTGCTTTTAGATATAAAAAGTGTTGGAAGTCTAGAGAGAGATTGGCACTGGAAAATGGTACTAGACATGGTACATTCTTCGTGTTGAGTAGAAAGTTGGTGGGAGTTGAAAGAACGCAAAAAAAGACCTATTAATTTGAGAAAGAGTGTCTACAAAGCTTTTGCTAACTGCCACAGAAACTTAGATTCATTCCTTTATAAGGTGCTAACTCTTATAAACCTGGTATCATCGAACCTTAGAGGCTGCAATAAGCGTCTCCTAACCTTGGTACCTGGTGCAGCGACTACGGAGCCCCTGTGGTCGGAGCTTGTATCACCCTCTTCTCATCCATTTTCACCAAGTTCATGGCAGTACAAACCTGTCTCCCACTGTCAGGGACTTAGAGTTATATGTTTGGATTCTCTTAACATAAAACTTATATGGATAAAATAAATAATTGCCCCATGTGAGATGCCATGTGATATTATAAAGAGAAAAAATATGAACACATACATATAGTGCCTTTCAAAAGACAGAAAACAAACACTTCCATCAAAATTTCAAAGTTTCGATGGTCTTACCACATTTCCCATAGATTGTATCAAATTGCCGCATTAATTCAGCTTCCGTTTTATAGGGAGAGTACTTATAAATTATAGACAATTCAGTTGAGAATTTCTGAGGATCATCTGTAACAGATTCTCTGGTTCTTGTTAACCATGAAGGCATTGGAACCACGACCTATTAAAAAAAAAAAACACAAAAAAACACACACCACACATCAATTTACTATGAAACACACAAATAAAAACCATCATCCTTTTGTCTGATTGTAATTCAGTCAACTCTTCATCCAAATTACCAAACCAAACACAAAGTTAAAAGTTTATTTCCTTCCTGTACTCCAGTTTTATAAGGAAGAGACACATAACAAATATGTATACTTGGGGTTTTATTCTAAAATGGTCAACTGTGAAATGTGGGGACAGGTGGAATCTACTTCTGCTTTCTTTTAAAATATGGGTAGAATGGCAGAGGAGACAACAGCAGCAGCATTTTAGAAACTGAAAAGCAAATGACAGCGTATCTAAGAAAACCAATCCGAAGCCCATGCCAGAAAACAGAACCAGCCTCACTTATAATCCAGAATCCCTTAAAAGGCTCAGAAATTGATGATATGAATTAACTCTAGCAGTGGGCAAAGGCGGAAGAGAGCCAGAAGTGCATCCAGACCCCCATCTGGCAAGAGCTCCTCCCCTACCTCCACAGGGACTAGATGTTCACTCGCTGTAAAGAATGGGACAAAGCACTTCTGAATTAGATGACATGCCAAGTACAGTTGTCAGGGGACCTTACTGAGATGAGAGGGATTAAGTGAAAATGTACTTATTGGGTACTGAGAACCCCAGATCTCTTCTCTCGTTTGGCTCCCAGAAAGCTGTCAGGTAAGCCTTCAGGCAGAATACTGCAGGAGTCTTCTCTGAGAAATGTGACCAGCCCAGAAAAAAAGATATACAGAAAATTACGCTGAGGATTTCCCAATAAAGCAGCCAGCTAGATCTTATTATCGTGACACCCATAGCTGCCAAGCTCCACCCACACTCTCAGAACTTTCAATAGGCATTTTATTGGACTAATCTTTAAAGTACAGCAGGCTCTCAAATGTCATTTTGTTCAACGTTGTTCTGTTACAATATTGATGAGAAAAGAATTCTCACAGGGGCCACTGTCTGTGTGGAGCTGGAACATTCTCCCCAGTCTACGTGGGTTTCTCCAGGTACTCCAGTTTTCTCCCACATCCCAAAGATGTGCCTGTGAGGTAGGCTGGCATGTCTGAATTGTCCTAGTCTGAGTGAGGGTGGGTGTCTGTGTGGCCCTTCGATGGAAGTGCATCCTCTCCAGCAAAGAAATAGAAGCTACAAAAAGATATAGATGAAAGAAAATCTTCAAATATTACAGGAAAATGCCCCAGAATTGAAGGACATGAGATTCCAGAATGAAAATGTCCAACAAGCGCCCAGCAAACAATGGATGCAAACAGACCCACTCAAAGATGCAAACAGGCCCACTCAACGGCATAACACTGAAATCAGAATACTGGGGACAAAGAAGATTTTACTGACCTTCAATAAGTAGAGGGGAGGGGGAAGAAAGGGTCACATACAAGGAATTAAAATGGCTGCAGACTCCCTAACAACACTAGAAATCAGAAAATAATGGAGCAATGCCTTCAAAGCTCTGAAGAAAAACTTAGCAATATCACCAAACCAGACTATCATTACCTTTTCAAATAAGACAAGAACATTTTCATGCATCTGAGAGCTCAAAACATTTTACCTCTCATGAACGCTTGCTAAAATGCTGCTGGAGGATGTTACACCAAAAAGGGGGAGCAAGCTATGAAAGAAGACATGAGATTTAGGATCTGAGATTTAACACAGAAGAGAGATGTAAAGATTTGGGTGGACAATGTCACGGGCAGATCTCATGATGGCAGCTGAACACCACCCATGGAAAGCAGGAGTGTGAGCTGCAGCACATGAGCAGTGGTAAAGACACAGGAAAACAAGCATTCAGTGGTAGTGTTATAAATACACTACCAAGAACACTAAGCAGACAGTTACTGATTCCAGGGAAAATAAAAAGTTGTGCAGGAAGGAGAAAAAATAACCATTTATGACATGGTATAATTATGAATAGTGTTTATAGAGTCTCATAATGTAAACACTGAATATTGCTATAACCATAATTACAATTGAGCTGTGGAACTGGAAGGATGTGTGTGTGATACGAGTAGAGAGGAAAAATATATAAAGCCTCCTCTTTTATCATGGGAGGTTAATGCCTAAATCAAATCAAAAGGAGCAATGCACCTGCACAAAGGCATGGTTCTTCTTGTGATTTCTTATAATGCCAAACTGCATGCTGGAAACACTCATAACAGTTGTGCAATATTTGTACAGTTTTGGCTAAATATTTGTATAGTTTTATTGCAAGGTTGATTTTTGTGAATTTATTGATTAAATATCTCCCCTGCAGAAAAAGAAAAAAGAAGCCATACAAGCTTGTTGCACACAGATATCCAGAAAAAAAATCAAAAGAATCAGCTAAAATTGTTGGGAGAGACTGCCTCTGTGGAAACAGGAAGACGTTACTGGTTTTAGTAAAAAAATAATAATAATGGTCCATTTTAGGAAAACAGACCTTTGGCCCAGTTTCACATGCCCTTTATATACATAAAGTACAACATAAATGCTTGAAGCACCGCTTTTCCTCATGTCAGCACCCACTCAGCTTCTCCCTATTGCCTTCAGACTGTTCCTATTACCCAGCCCCACTCCTCTGCAGCCAGCGAGCACGCTCTGCTCCTGCTGGGCGATCCCCCATTTTCACACTGTCCCTCTAAACCCCGTTCTCATCTCTGGGTCTGAGACTTGCTGAACACCATTTCTCTCCACAAACCAGTCTTTCCAGTTGCAAGTGTGCTCACTCCGTAAAACAGCCATTGACGACTCAAGGCTAACGTCTCCACCTATATCGTTTTTGACAATTTGTAACAGCAGAAGCACATAGTTGTTGAATAGCATTCTTTTTAAACACCCCTATTTTGTTATTTAGCCAATTCATATGTGTCTGCCTTATTCTGTGATAACGCTGAAAACACTTTGGCCGTCAGATGGTTTTCTGCTTATTTTCTACCTTCCATAAGGTCTACCCAGTGCTGGGCAGACAGCAGTTGCTCAACATGTATTTGCTGTACTGAATTATAACTGATGTTCTTAATAGTAAAATTCAGATACTGCAAATTAATATAATGTCTCTGGGCCATCAAAGGGAGTTGAAATTACTGTCACTGGAACTACAATTTTAAGTCTATTTCACACTCTATTCCTTTAGATTTTTTATTCCAAGACTTTGAATCCAATATTCTATTTCTTCTAAGAATGATAATCCAGCCCGGCCCGGCGTGGCTCAGTGGTTGAGCATCAACCTAAGATCCAGGCGATCAGGGTTCGATTCCCGGTCAGGGCACATGCCCGGGTTGTGGGCTCAATTCCCAGGCAGGGGCATGCAGAAGGTGGCCGATCAATGACTCTCTTCATCATTGATGTTTCTATCTCTCTCTGCCCCTCTCCTTTCCTCTCTCTGAAATCAATAAAGATATATATATTTTAAATTATTTTTTTAAAAGAAAAGGTAATCCATTTATGGCACAAGTGGTAGAAATGTTTTGCAGGCTTCTTCCCAAAAATCTCATTGTGCCAAAAGGAGCTTTATTGTGGGAGATTTGTCTACATAGATAATGAAAATAAAGTTCTGAAAACTGCCCAGAAGTTAAAAACCCAAGAGAAGGTCAATAAAGACAGGCTGCCAAGGACCCCAGCCACCCTTTCTTCATTTCCCAAACATATCCCTAAATTTCTAAATCATAATCAGAAAGAATTCATAATTTTACCTCCTGAGATAGGAAATGATACCATACTGATACCATCGGAACCAAAAAAAAATCTAAACTCTTACCTCACTCAGACCTTCTCCTTCACAGAATGTCTGAGAAAAAAACACACAGGTCATCGTTTCTTCCTTCTTTGTGAAAAGAATAAAGTCTTTTCCAATCCTCATGGATCCGCTATATTAAAAATCAAAAACATAACAGTTTACATCTCAAATACTGAAAAGAAGGAAAAGGCAGGCAGGATACTGTGTGCTATAATGGATTTTCTCTTCATAGAAATAACTCCACTGTTTTGCTCCCCGCCCCCAAAAGTAGAACAGACGGATTTGAACTAATCCAGCCCACACTTTTGCTTGAGCCATGACTTGTGGAGATAAGGGGCTATCTGGGCTGAAGAGGGTAATAATTGTCTTTCCCTGGCAGGTGCCACACTGGTGATCATGGCCTGTGTCCTTGCCCCTCATTGAGACATTCTACTTAAAAAAGCCATGGACACAACTAACACCTGTGCTAAACTATGCTTTGAGAAACAATAAACCACAGAGATGCAATTAAGCTCTAAAGTACAGCAATTCCTGAAAGAAGATTCATCGCCTATTTGAAAATTAATTTTAAATGTTGTCAAGATCCAAGTCAGTTGTGAGTATGGAGATTCGAAAACAAGGTGGGACTCCCAAGTTTATATTCTTTTTAAAGCTTTATAAACTTGGGCCATTCTGCATAAGATTGCCTTTAACTAAATATTGTTCCAATATCAATAACATATGCCTTCAAGAACAAAATTCTCACCTTTTAAGACCATTGCCATATTGCCCAATAAACTTCAAGGTTGATATCCGTTTCTTGGATGTTCCAAAGTAAATGATATCTGATGCCTCCGCTGTAATCCATAAAAGTTAAAGGTGGTCAGGGATCATGAGTAGTTCACAGGGCCAGCTGTTCAGGTGTTAGGATGACACACATATCTCAGGGAATCAGGACAAACCCATACCTCTTGGGACGGTCCAGAAACAAGGCTCCTTAATCTCTGACCAGGATCTTAATCGTATTACATTGAAGGAGGTCAGACAGACCTAGCCATGTGATTTGGGGTAAATAAGAGTTTAAAACTCTGAAGCGTAACTTCCTCTAAAAGGGAACTACTAATACTTGTAGTACAGTTGTTGATAAAGATAAATAAAATGAATTAAATAAGGCGATGTATTTTTCAAACCATGTACACAACAGACAGCGCTTGATAAATGCTAATAAATTTTAAGCATTATGGTTACTTGTACCACTAGGAATTTTCCATAAATTTGGCCTTTATCCTAACCCATGTGAGACTAAGAACGGAATGGCTTCTGGTCTGATACTGCCTGGGGAGGAATGGCTACTTGTTTCAGACTTTTAGAGTTAGTCTTCTGTTCTCTTCAGGGCATTCTGGAATTCCAGAGAAAAATCCTCTGGATTTCAGAAAATACATCCTTCCAGAAACAGAAAGCTCCCAGGGAAACAAGGAAAGATAGAAATGGGTCTCCCAATTGGCCCACTTACAAATATGCTCTAGAACTGTTCTGAGGACGCTGTGTCAGTCTGAGGGAACACATGCTACAGTTCAGGGGCACCTGGTATGGGGTGTGTAAAAGCTACCACTCTGCTTGTCGGAAGCTAACCTGACATTTACTACATGTTCTTACACAGGGTTGGACATTAGGTGAGGGTATCCATAATGGCAATATTAGTTAAAACTTACTGATTGTTTAGTATGTTCTAGGTACTATGTTATATACTTTACATGCACCATTTAATATTTATAACAAATTTACAAGGAAGATGTTATTATTATCTGCATGTTATTTACAGATAAGGAAATTTAAGTTTAAGGAGTTTATATAATCTTCCTAACGTCACAGAGCTGATAAATGCTACTGCCAAGATTACAACCCAGATGTGTCAAAGATCAGATCCCATGGTTTTCATTAGACAATCCATAGACTTCTATGTATGGTGGCCAGAGTTCAGGGCAGAGGGTCAGAACAAGGGTGACAGACATCACCCTTGCCCTCAATAACTTTATGTCATGGTAGGAGAAACCTACCATGAAAGAAGTAGGTAAATAAACAAAATCATTTCTTAGAGTGTTAAGTGAAAGTAACAAAACCAGGGTAATGCGACAGAGAATTAACAGGAGTGTGTCCTGCAGATAGAATGGTCAGGGAGGCCTCTTTCATAAGGTGACAACTGAGGTGAGGTTCAAATGATGAAGGGCCAGCCAAGGGTGGCTGGAGTGCTGTAAGCAAGGAGGTGAATGGTAGCAGAAAAGGTCAGGGGGCAAATAATGCAAGAAATTGAAAGCGTTACTGGGGGTATGAATTTTATTTTAAAGTAATGAAAAACCACTAGGAGTTTCAATCAGCAGAGTAATATGATATGATTTATGTTAAAAGGAAAAAAATCCATTCAGGATTTCTATATGGGGAAAGGACTGTCACAGGACAAGGCTGGAGGTGAAAGAGTTTGGAAATTACTACAGTCAGTTTCTGTGGGTCCAGAGTGATCTGGCTCAGTCTGGACAACAGATAGATTCTATTTTCAATCATCAGATAAACTCCTTGTAACTTATTACTCAATTTCTAATCAATGTTAATAAAGAATTGCTCTCTCAGCACTAGTGGGCTTTTTTTTAACACTACTCTGTATGTCAGCTGAAGCATGTTCCTTCTGAAGATCTGAATATTTGTCACTTTCCTGTGTTTTGATCATTTTGTTCATGGAGCCATATAAAATGAGTTGCTTCTCTTTTTTAAAGAACTGCCTTAGAATGTATCACACATTCTGTTATTTAAAGTATTCAAAACATGAACTTAACATTCAACCTAGAAGTGAAAATTGAAACTGCTTTTTCAGCATGGTTTTCTCACAAATTCTACTCTTTCTTATTTAGTTAAAAACTAGAGAACCAACAATACTTTGTAATCAAACCTGGAAAAATCAAAATTATCCAAACAAAGTCAGAACAAGAACTGAGTAGGATATATGAGCATTTCTAAACTTGCTAATAAATTATTCTTGGACTATTCAGACCAACGGGGAACCTCCAAGACTCAGAAGAAGAGAACTGCTTTACTCTGTATCCTCTGCTTCTATCAGCAGGAATGAGCATTCTTTCCTCTGTGGAACTAACCAAGACAGTCCCATGTTGCTTGAACTCCTTCACCATTTTTAAACCTAAAGCTCAAAAACCTTGGCTTGTGGCACATACACAAGTGCTGTAAGAATTCAGGGTTAAGCTAGCCCAAATAACTCAAAGGCCTCATCAGATGAAATAAATAACATTTCAATTCCACAGCAAATAGGTACTATGCACCTACTACGTGCTGGCTTTTGCCAGCCTTGAAGATACAAAGATAAAGCAGACAATATACTGTGGAGGTATTCATTATGATGGGTACATTCAATCGAAGACACGAAGCCCTTAACACGCAGAGAAAAATCACAAACTGCAAAAAACAAGGAGAGATAACCTCCACCTCAAGGTTAAGCAGAAATTTTTAAATAGCCTAAAGGCACTGGGAACTGCCTTAGAGGTCTCACAAGCAATACCTGAAGGATGGCCTAAAAACAATCTCAGCGTCCAGCCAGTAACTATTTATATTCCATTCATTCCCAGACGCGTTTTCGTACAAGTCATCAGGCACCTTCTGCCTTTCACTTTTCTGGCAATATTTATTTACATTCACTGTTTGTCTTAGTTTTAGATGGTTACGATGAATTTATTCTGTCAGCGGAACTATTTAAACCTTAAAGAATTCAACAGTATGTTAAGGCTGGGGTTTATATTCCTTAATAGCTCCATACCTACTTTTGCACAGATAGCTCAATTTACTTTTATTTATTTTATGAGTTTCCATACTGTTTTCTCCAACAGCTAGTTAGGTATCTCGATAATTAACTTACCAGGGCTCATGCCACATCCATCATCCAAGAAGCACAACATGAATCCACCCTGCAGTTTTTCATTATCCACTGTAAGAGAAAGGAGTTATCACTAATAAATACTGGGCTTAATTTGTTCATCAGAAAGTCATGCTGCTCGCATAATTATTCGTCTTCCTCAAATGCAGCCACTGTGCGGCACAGTTATGGCCCAACGACACAGCTCAGAAAGGCGTTTTGACTACAATTTCACAAGAAATTGCAGGGGGGAAACAGTCAAGCAAAAGAAAGGCTTTGCATGAACATAAACCATCTACACAACGAATTAATGACATGCTCAGTTCTAGAATTTGACTCATCTTTTAGACTCCACGTATTTCTTCCCTGGGGGAGGGAATAAAGGTAGATGGTGATATGGTTCCAGGATCCCTCTATTCAGACTGATCAAATTTTATTCCCTTCCACCAAAGCTCAATTCTAAAGTCAAGCCAAGCCATTCTTATTAAACACATCAAACTCTCTTCCAAGTAGTTAATTCCAATAAAAGCCATCTGAACATGCTTCTTTTGTTACTGTTGTCGTTGCAGATTTTTTGAGTTTATAGATTTTTCTCATTTCAATACCGCATTAGTCATGGGGCCAAAATTACAAAGAAATGGCCAGTCTTAGAGACTTTCAGAGCACTGACAGTTAGTGAAATCAAGTTTTTCAGTGGTGTCTTTAACTATAGATTTATCCAATTTGAATATTTTACTATTTATACCAAACACTATTCTACAAATTCTAAATAACACCTTTCCCCCTTCCTAGGAACTTGCCAAGATGGTAAAAGCAAAGAAAGCTGCTCAAGAGCAAGTACTGACCGCAAGTAGTCAAGAAATGATTTAAGACAATCTCTGTTGTGTGTGCATTTTTATAATAAAATTAAAAATACTTCACAAATTTTCATTCTTAAAATTATACTTATGGTGATCATTTGAAACTATGCTGTTCCAACATTATTTCTCAGAGATCTACCACTTGCTGTGGTAGTCTTACCCTCTGAAACTCTGATGCAGTATTTCATTCAAATTTCCAAGTATGTATGTTCATTTTTATTTTTTCCTTTAGGGACTGATAGATTTAAACTCCCCAGTCTGTTAGTTTTATAAATATATATGTTCAAAATATTTTGAGCCCTGGCCTGTGTGGCTCAGTAGTTAGGCATCATTCTGTGCACT